CTTATAAAAGGACTGCAGCAGATAAGAGGTTAGCTTTGGGTAAAATATCCACAGGATTTCTGGAGAAGATCAACTTTGACTGAGCCCCAGACAGGTGGCTGGTTTAGGGAGGAGCACTCCCACCTATCTCTGGTGGACATTACGACAGGAGTTTGATTGTGGCCACCTTATAGAAGATGTAACAAAGCCCCACTGGGGAGGCTTTGTTACAAAGCTTCCTTTCCTCTCCCTTTGACTCTGATCATCCACCATGTAATTGAAAACTCAGGCATCTCTCAGTAAAGTCACTATTGTCTGTCTTAGGGGTGCAGGGAAGCATGTGTGGTGTGTTTTGAGTTGTTACAGTGATTAGAAGGAAGTAATCACTGACAACCAGTGGCTGGAAGAGTGAGGAATGTTAAGTACTTGAAAGGTGAGGTAATCCAGGACAGTAAAGAATCATTCTATCCAAAATGCCCACGGCACTTCTTAAGAAATAGTGGAAGTGATTCAGATCCTCACCAACGGGTTATAAGGTGGATTTACAGTGGCAGAACTGAACAGAGTATGATGCAGTGGGGAGGAATCTATAGACTCATATCTGAAATATTTTTCCAATTTTGGGGGGAAATTTTTAGGCTCTAATGAGAATGTGTTAATATTGTGGCACATTAACTTGTTAAGTAATTTTTGTATAATAAATCTTTGCTGTGGAAACTTTAGAAATAGAAGGAAAAAGGCTAACCCCCATGAACATACTAGTGTATTGCCTTTCAGGACATACTAGGTGTATTCATTGTTTGCTAGTTGAGATCATAAAGACAACATACATTTTTAACTGACATTTTTGTTTATTTGCATAGAAGGAAATAGCTTTCATAGCCTCAGATCAATACTGTATGCTTGTAAATTTTAGTTTCTAAAGGCTTTTGTATGTGAAAAGTCATTATTTCTATTTCTATTTCAAAACTTTATCTTTTCAGTGTTTTATTTATCTTTGCATTATTTCCAATAATATTGGAAATAGTTTATTTATATTACATATCAAACTGACTTGTAAAGTAATACTTATCAAATAAGATGAGGCACTTCTGCAGACCAAAGGTCACAGAGACAGCTTTCCTCTATGGACTCTAAGGTATTAGGCCTGGTCTCTAGACACTGTCATTCTGTACTGGTTGTTTCCAAGTTTCCAAAGTTCATCCTGAGCAGTGCTCTCCCACGAACCCTCCTTAACTGGTGCCTGAAATTTCCACCACTGACCCTTTAATATGGAGCCAGTTCTCAATGAATTTGTCATATGTCAGCAGTTTTCTGTATCTTTTTGGTGTCAATTGTTATATTGTTAGTACACCTTCCTAATTAATGCTTTTTCTTTTTAACCCAGTTAGGTAATTGGTTATCTTTTTTCTTTGGAATTTAGAATTATTCTTCCCAGTGGAGGGGATGCAAAATAGAACTTTATCTTCTTTTTTTGCAAGGAAGTGTTCTGATAGGAGACTTCCATGTCTTTAGCTACTGGTCTTTCCTTTATGTTGTCTAAAGCTAGGGAAGAAAGGGGCAGGTCCTATCCCCTCTGCCAATGCCTGGCCATTGTTACTTTGCTACTTACAAGAAGCTATGTGACTTTGAACAAGTCATTTAAATTCTCTGAAAACATAAAAATGAAAAAATAAACTCTCTGGGCCTTTTTTTCTTTATTTAAAAAATATAGGTAATAATACCTATATTACAGGGTTAACTGAATTAAATAAATTGTATATGTAAAATATTTAGCACAGTGTGGTATGCTGTGTTAGCTATTACCAAAATATGTTAACTCATTCAAATTTTATAACCCGATGAGGCAGACATTAATGAGATGTTATTATCTCTACAGTTAGATGGGGAAATCAAGATAGAGAAATATATAATTTCCCCAAAGACAGTGTGTGGCAGAGCTGGGTTAGAACTCCAGCTCTCTGGCTCTGGAGTCTGTGCTCTTAACCACTGTGTCGAATGGTGTCTTCAGATCATAAAACAGCCCAGTGTCTAAGGAATGCATGTCTCCATATGTATGTACCATAAAATAACTATGCTTTTGGAAATAGAAGTATTTACAGATTTTAATGTGCATACTTAGAGTAGACAGGGCACCTGGCAAACTGATTTCAGCAAGTCCTATGTCCTTACTCAGGACAAAGGTAGATTTTTTTCTCCTGTCCTCCCTCCTCCCTTTCCTCACTCTCTTCTTCCCTGTCTCCTGCAGCCCAGTCCTCTTTTCTGTTGCCCCAGCATTGTGTTGGCTTTTTTTGTTTGTTGGTTTGAGGGCCCATGTGTATAATGTAAAGCTCACGGTGGGAATAGTTCTTTTCTTTCTGAGATATAACTGAAATCTCAGAAGCCATTGGCTTTAATGTGGAATTTGATTCCTTTCCTCAAAATGATTTACACAATTACGGTTATAGCCCTCCTGTTTCAGTACTTTAGATGAGAAAGAGTTTGATGTCGGAATAATATATAAATGGTTTAAAGTCATTTTTGCAGAATAAGTGACAATAATAGAGCAGGGAGGCAGATAAATAGCTTATTAGGTATACATTTCTTAATGGGAAAAGAGTAAATCAAATGAGTTAATATTTATTTGAAGACTATTCTAGGTTCAAATTTTACCAATTATTCTATTTTTTAAATTATGTTTAATTGTGAGCTATTCATATCAATATTATTCTATGTCAATTGAATGGTTTAAATTTTTCCTCCTAAATGTATTAAGACCCGTGACTCTCAACCTTGGCTGCATATTAGAATTAACTGAGGTTGGGTGGCGGTTTAAAAAATCCTATGTCCAGGTTGCACTTTTGACTATTATCTGCTGGGGAGAGACCCAGGCCTCAGTGTTTTTCAAATCTCCCCAGGTGATATAAATATACTGAGTACAACTGCTTTTACAGGTTACTGAAATTTCACGTATATTGAACTTAAAGAGAGGCTTTTAACATTCTTTCTATTAGAACAGCAGAATTCTCTTCTCAGCCCCTTGAAATTTGGCTCTCATCACAGGAGTATCTTCCCACGGAGTAAGGATATTCAATTTGGCAAAAGTCGAGCACAGGAAGAACCCCAAAGGACTTTATTTATTATTTCCTTGGGCTCACAGCAATCATTACACATAAATATGTTTGTTTATCAGAATAATAAATGAGTGGTTCTGCAGCTCTGTTTTAGATTCATATGCAAGATTCTCAGCATCTTCAAAGAAGGGCCTTTCAAAGACTCTAAAACCTCAAACTCATTTTTCCTGCTCTCTACAGATATCGTATATGAGTTTTAGAAGGCAGAATTTTCATTGACAAAAATCAATTCTAGAAACATAAAAACAAAACAAAACATATTTCAAACAGGACGAAGAACTGGTGATTGAGCCCCTTCCCTAGAAATAAAAATATGGGAATAAAATATTCTTAGAATTCTATCACCATCTTACATTTGTTGACAAAGCCAATAGTTTCATTGGTAGGTAATGGAGAATTGGAGCTTTCTCTCCATCCAGGGAGAGCTCCCTTAATAAACAGAGCTTGGGCTGCAGTCAGGCGCCAATGGAATGAAAGAGCCACCTCTTAATAGCTGAGGCGGGTGATGCCAAATAGCCCCAGTGGGCAGAGATAAGCTGAGAAGGAAAATTGGTTGATTTCAAGAAAGACGTGGAATCACCCTCTGGGCTGACCCAAGTTGTTTCAGATGATGAGTGGTCATGAAGGTGACACAACTTTATTGGCCTGAAAGAAATATAGAGAAAATAAAAATGCTTTGTTTGCTTCTCAGGGGACAAAAAATGTGTGTAGTGAATTTCCTCCCTAAGACTGGGGCACGTAGTCTGCTGTCAGTTTTCTGATATATCTATCACCGCCCGAGAAGCAAAGCGACAGAGGTATTTTAAGTTGTGTCTCTAAAGAATCCTAAATGGACAGCCCAAAAAACCAAGACAGGAAAGGAAATATTCTTTTCTTACACTTCCGGTGCTAGTTTCTTCTTAGTTCACTCATGTCTCCCCAATATCCCCAATAATCTTTTGTTTTCCTTACTCTCCTAACATAACCTGATTATCCTGGATGGGGTCCATTTACTCAAGAATAGTCTTAGTGTTAAGCTTTGTCTAATACTTGGTTGGGAACTAAGGACATCACATCTGAACAGTTTAAGTTGTTTTTATTTAAGCATTATGAAACTCCATAGGACGCTTCAGTATTAGTACCAAGAAGATTTTGTATATGACCGAGTTGTAGCAGTACATGAAATTTGCTGGCAAAGTAAAAATGATATACTTCATCTGTGTGAGAATTTAAACACTAAAAGAAGATGCTTTAATTTCATATTATCCTCAGACTTTCTTCTCGAAGGTTTTTCAATGTATTCCAAATTAGAATGGGAAAAATTTAAGTGCACTTTTTGTTTGAATGTCAACGACTGAAAATGTTTCGGGTGTGTTTGTGTTCAAGTCATTGTACCAGCAATAGACTCTTACAACCAAGAATCCTTTCTATATACTAAAAAAATCGAAAAACTATTTTCCACATTGAAAATTCAGAAAAAGGGTGGAAATATTAAAAAAAAAACAAAAAACACACCTCCCTTGTTATTGTAGTGTAAGGATTTTACTATGAAAACAGAAATCTTTTAATTCAACGCTAATAATTGAAGTCATAAAGTATCTCAAGTATTTTAATCTAATCATTAACACCACAGATTTCTGGAATTGCTAATCAATGAGCAAAATAAATTATGCTTTGCATCACATAAAAAGGGGGAAAATCCAGTAGATTTGGGGATAGTACTACTGCTGATTTAGCAACACCATAGATACACTCCTTTTTTCCTTAACTTTGCAAAAATCCCAGGAAATGGAAATTGCTATGTGTTTACAATTTGAACTCACGTGTTTTAGAACAAAATGAGTAAATGTCTTTTTTTAAATAATGCACTTATAGAGTTTGACACAAAGAATAATAGCTAAGGTTATACAACTCAGAAGAATCGAGAGATACTGCAGTAACACAAAATTGTCTTTTAATGTTTGTTTACCAGTTCATTGTATCTTACAGAAAATAAAAACATTATTTTTGTAATACAGATTGGTTCTTTTCCTCAGATTTGTACCCAGTAGGTATTAAATGCCTTTAAATACTGATTTTTTTTTTAGTCTGGTGGCTTACTGACTTTTTGTATTTTTTATTTCTTTTGTTGTACATCATTGCTGCTCTGGCAGTAGTGAGCTATAGCACACTTCTCGACAAAACTGTCAGTTATCCATTGATCGTGCTTGATGCATTCTGTGCTTAAAACTGACAGCAGTTCCCTTTAATCCTTCCTTCCCAGTGGTCACCTACTCCATGAGACCACCATATTCTTTGGAGCACTGAAATCAAGAAACCCAGGATGGCTGCCAGCAACCAAATTGGAATCTCCTTTGAGTCTACTTTTCATTGCCAAAATAATAAGCGACTATATTATTGCATAAAATAAAACTTTAACAGGTACCGGCCCCCTTTCTATGAGAAAAAGTTTAAATTTACAAATACCTTATTTGACTAAAAATTACTGTGATAAAATATGGCAGCAGTCATTAAAAGATGCCTTCCAGTGTTAATGTGATTAACTTGGTTCCATTCCTACTGTCTTTTTATATGAATCATTTCTTATTGTTGGGTTTTCAAATGTAGGTGTCTCAGTGAAACTTGAAGATAAAGTTTGTTGCTAATATGGGCCACAAGTGTTAATTAGGGACAAAATGATCAAAATAAGATTTCCTAACCCAGAGTCCCATCTTATCTCTCGGATACTCTTGGAACCCACATCTGAGGAGCAACTTCTGAATTAGCCAATGTTGTACTGACTTTCTGTTTGGAATTGTATTAGGATAACCAACATCTCAGTGAGATATCTTGGGGGATGAAGTAGGAAAATAGACATTTGGTGGAAAAATGGAAAATGATAACACTAAAAATAAAATTATTCAAGTAGGAGTTCAAAAGGGTAAGGAAGGGGATCATCATCCTTCGGGGGAAGTCAGAAGATAAAAATTCTGCCCGGCAGTATTCATTTTTTAAATATTTTTTTACAAGCTTGGAAAAATGGTGTGCAATCAGTATAGATTTTAATCAGCTAAAAGTCAGTCCAGAGTTTTTGATCAGCACCAATTCCTATACTAGTAAGTATTCAAAAGTTAAGAAATGCTAGCTACTATGCTTAACATTATAAAGGTAGAGTTCTGCAGCAATAACTGAAAATTATATATCTGCTTCAATATAAAAATTTGTTCCCACTTGCATTTCCAATAAAATTATTGTAACGTGGGTAATAATCATTCAAGTATGGGCTTCCTCCAATGAGCTCACCCCTATAGTCGAGGTGTTAGAGTCACCCTTTTGGAGATAGTCCCGTCTTTAAATAACATATTCATCTTATTCCAGACCATTCAGGTATTTTTAATTTAAACATTCGAGTTCTATTTGTATCAGCAGTGTTTGAGTTAAACCTCACATTCTCTTTGGATTTATATTTGTAATTTTTGTACAATCTGCATATCCAACCTAATGTAAAAATGTGCATGCATACATTGTCATCTTTTAATATTAAAGCATCTGAAAATTGCCAGCTATGCTCTTAATAAAAGAAGTGATCTACTTTTATTTACAATATTTTGTCTAGATAATGTATGAGTATAGTTATGGTTGTATGGACTTCCAATTGTTCTATATCTTCCACACATGTAACTCTGCATTTAGAGAGTAAATTTATTAGAATTCTTACAGAGCTTTAAATGCAACCACAATCAATTCAGGAAACAGATTTATTTACTTATGTTCATGGGAGGAAAATCTACATAAAAACATTCATGAAAGCACACCAGCTATGTCATTCTTGGATTATGATACTAAATCCCATTTATTAGAACTCATTGTGAAACAATGGGAAACCATAAAATGTAATTTGAATACAAATATTGGTCCCTGTGGGGTCTCAACAGTCGTAAAAATACAGGAAAACAGAGCTTTATTTAAGATTGGAGCTGCTAATTGTTTTTCTGAAGCTGGCCTTACCCTTTCACTTATAGCCCTGATGATTTTAGTGTAAACTCTGTGATGACAGCTTCAGTGTTTCATTTACACCTAATGATGACCAGCAAGGAAGTTGACATCACCGACCACATTTTCTTACGGGGGAAGGCTTAGAATGACTTGGTTGACTTTTCCCCGACCACAGGCACCAGTCGGGCTTTCTAGTGTATACACGAATAAAAAAATAAGGATTTTGAAAGTTAGGGCTTTATTCCTTGGTTAGGAAAGTGTGTAGTTATCCATTCCTCTTATGACTTAAATGTTTCAGTGTAGCGTAAATAAGAAGAAAATATTAAATAGTTTAAAGTTATTTTTATAGGACAATAACATCTCATAGGCTAACATAAAATCAAGCTGCTAAATTTTACAATTTTTCTGTCCAGCAGTTTATCTATATAACTGCCCTGAGTAGATGCTAAATGCTGCTTAGCCAACGGCCCTTAGAATTTAAATATAACTCAGTAAAGCTACTCAAAAGATAAGACGATTCTTCTTAGGCATGTGTAGTTTTAATTAGAAGAAGATAGGAGTCTCTCACATTGGTTAAATATCATATGCTTATTTAAATTTCATACTTCATATAAATGGGGTTGTTAAGGAGTTTTAACTGTGCTTTTTACTATGCATTGGAGTCCATATGAATTTTATTTTTATTTTTTTGGTCAAAAAGGCAGGATTTTAAAGAGTAAAATATTCTGTTGGAGACTTGAAATAGGAACATTTAGAAAAATGTAGATTATTCCCTTGTGAGACTGAGTTTTGTGCGACCTCTCAGGATCTCAGTTTATGTAAAGAAGCCTGTATTTCAAACCTGTTGCTCCGGTTTGTTTACTGTAGTGCATTTCAAAATTGTACAAATGTGTAAAATTTGTGCTTGTGGAAGCTGCTGCTCTGAGTAGCTTTACTTTCCTAACTTAACCCTAGCCGTCCTCAGGTTATTGCAGGCCCCGCCCGTGAACGGATACTTTGTGGGATGATACAGCCTCGACGGCTTGGCTCCGCAGCCTCCTGATGTAGGGCTCCCCTTAAAATTATATTAATTTATAATATATAGTGAATGATAGCTTTACAAACACAAATTAATGAATTGATCTTTATGAAAATGACTCTTTACAGTAAGTAAAAAAGGGTTATCACAGTTTTGGTACCTTGCATGAGTTCATACGGAAAAAACACACCTTTCCCATGTTCCCAAAGACCTTGCCCTTGGACCCGCGCTCAGTTGTAGGCGCGGAAGCAGTAGGCGCCGTACAGCTTGTGCTTCTTGTCGGGGAAGCCGGCGAAGCGCACGGCGGCCTCGCTGGGGCTGCAGCGCCGCCGCGGCCGGGCGATGGGGTAGCGGACGCTGCCGTCCGCCAGCCAGCCCGCGTCGCAGCGGTCGTAGCCCAGCAGCTTCCAGGCGGCGAACATCTGGCCCACCTTGGCCAGGCGCGCGCCGTCCTTGAGGCAGGCCTGCGCCGCCTCGTCGTAGGTCAGCTTGCTGGGGTGGATCAGGTAGTAGAAGCGGCCTGCGGAGAGGGCACAGGGCAGGGGTCAGTCGGCTGCGCCACGGGCACGCGCGAGCCCCGAACACGGGTGGCTTTCGGGGCGGAGCGGCACCTGGAAAGGTTGGGGGGACGTCCCATCCTCCATCAGAGGTAGTGCCCCTAAGTCGCGCTGCATTACATTAGCTGATTTTCTTGCCCCCAAATCCATGGCCTTTTAGAGCTTTGCACAAGAAAAGGGAAATGACAGATGCGGTTTCTGTTGGCTAATTAGTGACTAAAAGGCCCTTCTGTGGCACTGGGGAAGACAAGAGGTCCGCGCTGAAAGCAGGAGCTATTTAAATTCTGGCTGTAGCTATTTAAATTCTGGGGTTGCCTCTCCAGAAACCCCAGCCCAAGTTTCTGGAGAGGCAACATTTGAATGTGAAAGGATCAAAACCATTCCTGACATGAAAGTGCATTTGGAAAATCAAAAGCCCTCAAGCGCTTTTCATGACAGGTATCAATGAGGCATTATTCCTCCTCAAAGGCTACAGTATGAAAATGCAAAAAAATACAGGAAGTCACTTGCCATGAGTAGCACTGGGGCGGGGTGTGCACCCAGTCTGCTCCCTCACTAGCAAGGAGGATGCCTGTATTTATTTTTTCAACTTTATTCTGTGGGAGACTGATACCTAACTGGAGGGACACTGATATCTAACTGGTTGTTTTGTTTTTTGTTTTTTTTGTTTCACAAGAAAGAGCAAGTTAGTCTCCCCCACTTAATGAATAGTGTTAATTACTGAGATTCCTTCAATATGTATTAAATATCCATACAATGTATAAAATATGACATCAACTGACTGAAGTGACACATGCCGATTTGAAAGTTGTCTCAGACTTCCTTTCAGGTAGAATATAATCACTCTCTTATCTGATTATACATTGTAATGTGGTGTCTCCCTGCCCCTCATTAAATATAGACCATTGAAGTGTAAACCAATGCTTGCCAGTTCTTTCTAGACTAAGATGATGTGATCTGGAGAAAGAGGAGGGGCCATTGGAACCTTAGCTAGAGGGTGAGTTCTGTCATCTACACCAGAGTCAGCAAACTACTAGAGTCAAGTGAAGTTTTATTAGAACATAATCATACCCACCCATTAATATTGTCTGTGGCTGCTTTTGTGTTGCTATGTACAAAGCTACATTGACTGAGTAGTAGCAAAAGAGGCCATATGGCCCACAAAGTAAAAATTATTTATTATCTGGCCCTTTACAGAATGTTTGTTGGTCCCCAATCCCTTGCCTTTTTCCCCCAAAGCATTTTACCAGGGAACTAAAATATAAATGATGGAGCCAGGGTTTGCTTCATGGGTGTGTGACTTGTGCAGGTACACATGGTCTCATGACTGGTTTAATGTCCTGCTGTCACCATCTTAACGTTCTCAATAATTTTGAACAAGGAACCAACATTTTCATTTTGCACTAGGCCACACATTATGTAGCTAGATCTAGATGGCTCAAGGTAAGGTTGGGAATTATGTTGAATGCAAAGAATCAGTCAGCAACACTGAGGCCACCTGGACCTCTTTTCTTTTGCTTGCACCTGCAATGCTATTTCTACTTATTTTTCATGCAAAGCTCTCTTCATCCTGAGCTTTGTTGATCATTTATGAATATACTGACATTATAATTTAGTGAAGGAGAACACAACACAGAAGCCACCTTTACTTCAACTGAGAGAGATGTGTCCCAGGGAGGGCACACAGCAGCAGCAGCATCCTTGGCAATGAGACAGACCCCAGACAACATCACAGCTTAACTATTTCATAGCATCAGATGCAGTAAAACCTAGGAATAGTGGAAAGATACACTTTTGCCTGACTTCTGTGGATTTGTTAAAAAATTAGGACATCAAAGGACTTTTTACATCTTTTCAGACTGGAGCAATACTTCAAAGCTTTTATCTTTTCTTTTTTTCATCACCATTTATCCCCTCTATGCCCACTGCCACCTCTGAGATTGAAAGTCAAGTGTAGCGTCATAATACATATTAGTCTGTGGTGTAGGAAAGAAGTCAATTCGGTTAATATCTTACCATTGAAGTTGGATGTAAAACAGAACACATCATATCTGCTCTTATCTTTATCCCAAAACCCGTAGTTCCTGACCCCAGGCACTGTGTTCTGGCCCCCGCAGGGCTCCCTGGGCTTGGTGATGGGGTACTGCACGGAGCCGTCGCTGAGCCAGCCGGCGTTGCACCAGTCCAGCCCGCCCCGCCAGGCGTCGTACAGCTGGTCGAAGGAGGCGATCACGGCGTCCTGGTCCAGGCAAGCCTGCTGTGCCTCGTGAAAATTGAGATTATAGCGCCCCAGTCGTGGAAAGTAAGGGAATACCACACCTGTCCAAAGGAGAAAACACGGGATTATTAGTGGCACCAAAAGTAACAGGCGAAAAAACATGATAGAATCTCCATAAGATGAAGGAGTAGTTTTTGGACAACTTGCAATGGTTTCTCATGGTCCCTTTTCTTTCAAACAGCCTCTCAGCTCTGCACATGTCACGGTGTGTTATGTGGTTTGATAACTTCAGTGATTTACCTCTCTTGCTAAGGGTTCAACTCTGAGCCTTGAAATTCTCCTTTTTGAAATGATTCTCCTGTGGATTATATTTTTCAAATAGCCCTTGATAATTTACCACCTGCTACTGGTTACTAACCCTAAAATGTATTTCTGAGCCCCCTTTGCCTGGGAAAAAGTCAATATTGAATACTAAGCATGGTAGGGGATGTAGACATAGTGCCAAGAGAGAAGGTATTTTTTTCTTAGTAATTATTCTTATATAATTAGTAATTCATTTTATATTGTCCTTTAAATGTATAAACAAACATGTTAGATTATTCAGATGTAGATATAGACTTGCTTTTACACGTGCTCCTAAAAACTTGCAGATAAGTAGCTTTCACTTAGAAGGCTTCTGATCTGGAGAACCCCCAAAGTGAAATCCTTTTTATTACAAATAGAAACAAAAACCTTCCCAACACTTGTCCTATACAAGGTTGATACAGAATAGACATCTGTTGTTGATTAAGTTAATGCCAAAGAATTAAGTTAAATTTTTTAAAGGGCAAAACCTTGAGGAAATGTAAATGGTGTGACTTGGCACTTGGCTTTGCCTGGGGAGATACAATGATTTTCCAAATGCATTCTTTTGGGTCAAATAATCATGAGGGGTGATTGAGCTTTCTTACATCTCTCCGCACGATTTCTTTAAAGGACAAGGCTTACATAAGAAAGCAAAGTTGTACGCCTTGCTGGACTTGAAGAAGAACAGTGTATCAAAATGTCTCCCCCATAGATGCTAAAAGATACTTCATTTAGTGTGATTATTCAAGCCCTTGCCTTGGATTTTTTGAACATAATTAGAAATGGTTAATAATTTAGCATGTGGAATATAATAAATTGTCCCACTGACAGTAATTAGGTGAATTTTATCACATGAACTATTTTTATGAGACTGCAGACCCCAGTGACGATGAATGTACAATTCACTAATAGTGTAGCCAGTACACAGGAAACGTTCCCATTGACCAGTTGTCCTGGAGGACTCTACAAGAAGAAATCTCAATAGCCTAGATCAAGTCGCGTCCGCCAAAGGCCTCTGCAGGGCACGTTTGTCCCTCTAGGGCAGTCCAGCTGGCACTGTCCACTGCAGGCAGAGATCCAGGAAGGCTTCCCGATCTCATCCTGCCTTCTCAGGTTCTTGGCTAAGGGATCTGTAAGCTGAATCAGAGCCAAAGTGAAGGAGGAAAAGACTCTCTGGGGTGCCGCTGCCCCCTGCAGTGATGATGGGAGGGAAGCCTGGAGGTGACTCTGTCTAAGAAGAGCTAAGCCCAGGCATCTAGCTAAGAGTCCAGTGAGTGCTGGGAAGGAACTGAGACAATGCTCCCTGTCCTGTGTGCCTTTCATTCTCTTTCCTCAGCAACCCCAGGGATGCTGCTATAAAAAAAACACGCAAAACGCTTAAGTTGTCCAGTAGAGATTTCTTTGGCAGCTGAACATTAAGTGGGAGAAAATCTCAAAGAATCTCAATGTGGAGAGAGAAAGAAACCATATGGATTAAATTCTGTTTCCCAAATGGCTCAAGATGGTAACAGTAGAGATTGTAGAATATTTTAATTTAAAATAATTTATAAACCAAGACAATCTCTTGGGTTTAAATTCACTGCAGTATAGTTAGTGGACTTTCATGGGCATTAGGAAAAAAAAATTTTTTAGTAATTTCTCCTTAATTAACATTAAGTGTTCCTGAAATATGATTGATTCAGATCCAAATCCAGTGTACTATATTTTTATTTGAGTTCCTTTCAAATTTAACATAGTTTCAAATAACCATTTCTGAAAGTCAAAATGAAACCCCATATTAAAATTTTACTAGTTTTCAATTGTAGGAATAAATGATCAACTTGCTGTTTTATTAACTTAAAAGGTATACATACATTTAAATTAATTCTCGATGATGCTGGAAAGGACACATTCCTAGTACACTGAGGTTAATTTCTACATTTACTCAGCCAATATTTTAAAAGCTTCACTGTATTGCACACATTTAGTGCATACATTTCAACACTCAGATGTCTCTTACAAGCAGGGGCATTTCTGGAACTACAAGTTTGTTAGCATTTATTTATTTACTTATTTTACTTCCAGCTTGTTAAGGTTTGAACATCTAAGACTATGATTGCAGAAACCTTCTTGGCTCTGTGGGAAAATGCAATTTCTACAGCTGAATCATGGAGCAAATGGTGATTGCTTTCATCCAGCACTTTGAAAAAACAAGGAAAGTTAAACTTTCATGGGTGAAAAGAAGGGTGTATAGTTATTTTCCAAGTATAATTATTTTATACTTATATATCAAGATATAATGAAGAGCTCTTTACTTTCCCACAGAGGTCTGGTATGCATCACTACAGAGGGGATTAATAAGGATGATACATCACATGGAAATGAATAGTATCAAACGATGTGAGTAGTTTCGTCAGTCCAAATATGTTTTGAAAACACATTCTTTAAGATTTATAATTACACAATCCAATTCATCCTAGTTGTTGGCAAATATCAATTTGTTAGACATATAAAAGGTTTTCATACCATGGTACATGTAGCAACTAAAGTAAATTTCAATAACTTCATAAAGTAAATATATTTAGTAATTAAAAGGCAGAGACCGTGAAGTATATTTTACCTTCCTCTATGCCTCTCATAGTGCCCAGCAGTGCTACGTACATATGTAAAATTACTTTTCTATTTCTGAAAGTCCTCAGACTATATTTTTGCGTATTTGGACTCCATTTCACCAATGTTCATGGATATTAATTTGAATTAATAAAACCTGAAAGCACAAGGTGGCATGCGATCAGGAACCAAGAACTACAACTAAAAGATGAGAAAGTCATAAAAGTGCACTTTTACGACATCGTGTAGTTTATTAGGTACATAAAGCTAATAATTCTCCATACACGTGATGGGGTTCTGTGGGCTTCAGAGGTCAGATCTTCAGTGATAGGCTAGTTGACTAAACACATACTTTTCCAAAGGCACAAATCCACCCTAGGATGTCAAAGAAGCTTCTAGCAAACACACACTTATAGTTTATGTGGCTAAGGAAGGAAAGTATTCTATCAAGGCAGCCAGAGCTCATCCTCCAGTGTAAAGAAAGTCTGGAATTCAAGAACATAAGAAGTTTTGAGACATGCGAGAAACCATGGAGAAGAGTACCCCTCCTGGAGGGGCATTCAGAGGGTGGGCTTTGGGCAGAGGGGACACAGGATGATGACAGGGACACTTTTTATCAGCTAGCTTTCTATACATTTTGAGTTTGAACCTACTGAAGGTATCATATACGTAAAAAATAAAATCTCTCGCCCCAGATGCCTTGACCACTTGGTATTCAATGTCTAAGAGACTTGTGACCACTAAAAAAAATTACTTCTTTACAACAATAGTTACATAAATTTGGAGCTTACTTTACTGTTAAATTGAGCTTTCACAGTTACTTCACAGAATACAATTGCATGCATTTTAGTCAGCAGATGTCCTTCCCAAAACTTGCCATTATTTCAAAACGGAGACAATTTTAGAAGTATAATAAAAAAGCATCAAATCTGAATTTCTTAATAACTATGTAATGAGATTTAAATTTTAAATAGCATAAGGCAGTTTCTGAATATTATTAATTCATTTCTACTGCACATTTCTCCTACTTGCAAATAACTTCAATTTTGCACAGAACCATTGTGTGTACATTTCAAATGTGAAAGCTGGAATCACATACAGATTACAAAATACAAAACAATAGAAAAACGTGCTATGAATGGACTTTTGGTTTCTCACATCATCACTATGGTAACCACTAGACATTACTCATCATGAAAAAAAGAGCAATGATTAACTATAATTTCTGAGTTTGACATGATTCATAGATACTTACCTTGTAAATCTAATGCTACCACAGCAGTGTCATCTTCTAATCCTTCAATCACCTCGCACTTATATTTCCCGTAATCCTCCAGGGTGAGGTCTGTGATCAGCAGGGAAGCATCGTTATCACTGCCCCCCTTCAGAAACACTCGCCCCTGGTAGCCTCCGTAGGCTTTCTTGTGGTATCCCATGGAAACGAAAACGTCCACTTCCTTGAGGTAATCTGAAGTTAGCTTGGTCCACTTGATGCGGATTTTGTGGGTTCCTGAGCCAAATGCTGTAGGGTCTCGAAAAAATTTACATGGCAGTGTGACATTGCCACCTCTATGTGAGAACACCTTGGCTTGTTCTGCTTCCACAAGTAGATGGGGGCCATTTTCTGCTGTAATTAAAAAAAAGAAAGACGAGAACAATTAATACACTTTTAGCCGTTCTAATGAAATAAAATATGCTACCTGTACAGGATATCTGATGAACAGTGGCGCTGGGAGATGGGCTCCTCTGCATTGTTAGGCAGTAGTCTCTTTGAGCCACATGGAAAGGTACCTCTGATACTTAGAGGACATCTATAAGGTAGCCATATCCTTTAAACTATTGAAAAAAGGAAGGATGTGCATTATAATTATTGAGAAATATTGGATATATAACTCCATAGTCATCTGAAGTTTGATGATTTCATAATAAAATTTTTTTTACATTTAAATATAAAAAAATGTAGAAATAAGAGGAAGAGAAATGACAAAGTACCATCAATATAAACCAAAACATCTGTAGGCAAATTTCTCTCTTCCTAGGTGAGCTTTCTAATACAATAAATCTGTATTGTATTTATGGAAAAAGCATAAAACAACATGATTAACTTTTATTATACTTCTGGCCAAAGAACTTAGAATGGCCACGCATTTATGGCTTCTACTCAAACATATACCTGTGATTAAAATGCCATTCTGGAGCATTTTCAGCAACGTGTATATATTTTATTTTCACGAAAGGTCAGGCATCACAAAGGCATTTTTAGTGAATGCTTTATAAAACCTCCAGATTTTGAAATATATTCCTCAAAACTTGCATGTGAAAAGTGTACCCAAAGTTATACTTATTTTCTGATTAACCAAATAATCATTTCTTTATTCCCTTAAATCTCCTTCTACTCCCTCCCTCTCTGTTTCCTACTGTTTCTTATTGTGCAGTTATCTTATCACATCCACCTTTCCTTTCGTTGCCCTTTTGAAAGCCCTCCTCCAAGGCCTTCATTGCCTTCCAGAGAGGACCGCAGCAGCCCAAGCTTGCCAAGTCAGCAGGGCTGCGGTTCTCTAGAGAGCCGGCCGTTATTTTCAGATCTTGGCTTTCTCCGGGGCTTCCCCTGGTTAGCTCATTGTGCTTCTGACCTTGACAAGGACTCTTGAGGATGTGCAAGATTTGAAAATGAGAAAGTGATATAAGAACTCCTGGACACACATAGCTTCTCATCTGTACACAGCTTTCAAAGGCTGCCAAAACTGCCTTTCATGTAGCCCTTCCCGCCCTAGGCAGGTAGGCACTGAGTAAAATTTGGCCATGAATCATTTAAGATACACAAGACACCATGAAGAGTAGCTACTCACTTCCAGACAAACCTCAAAATTCAGTTATTTAATAGCATACACAGGATTCAAATTTTAAAATAAAAAGTGTACAAAATAGATACAGTGGTTCTATTTTTATCTTATAGCAATCAGAATTATGTAATATTGAAAAATTTCATGTATAAATCAGCCCCAATCTTCAGAAACTGAAAAGTTTAACAAAGACATCACTTTGAATAGATATTTAAAAAAGAGAGAGAGAGATAGAAGGGACAGTGGCTTAATTAAAATGAACCCAGCTCATTAAGCATTATCTTTAGATTCTGTTTTTTTATCTTCTTATTTAGGACCACTGAATTGTAAGAGATGAAAGGTAAATCTATCCAACTCAACCCTACATATACTTTTTCCCCTACAATATCCCCAATGCCTGCATCCAAGCTCCACCTAAATATCTCTAGTGTCTCTGGAAGGAGGAAAAGGAGCTATTGACTAAGTTTGCTCAGTTATGTCTGAGGGCCATAGGGAACATCTCCTACCCAGACCCTTGGAAGGACACCTGGGGCCTGGGCCTTCTCCTGCTGGGACTTAAGTTTTGACATGACACAAAGCTACAAGAGGTTGCAGTTTCATGATTCAAGCTTTTTAAAACCAAAACTAATGCCCAAATGCACTGAGATAGGGGGTATCACAGTAGTTAGGAACAAGGGATTTAATGTGATAGAGATCTTGTTCTAACTTCATCTCCTTAATTTACTGGCTCTGTAGCCTTGAGCAAGTTGTGCAACGTCTAAACCCGAATTTTGTTAGATGTGAATTGGGGGTAGTAATAGCTACTATATATAGTTGACCTAATAGACACATAAAGCACTTAAAATAACGGCTGACCCAAAGTAAGTGTCCACTCACTGCTAACGGTTCCTACTGCATAGATTTTCCACGGTATTTCTCAAGTATGATACTGTCTGATATTGAGCATAATTTTGGCCAATATTAACATTCCATAGTTTCACTTACTTATAAAGATTTGATCCATTGGGAGTAAAAAAACACACAAAACGCCACCTGTGTTATACAGGAAACTTGGAAATTATTCTGTGGTTTAGCGTAATCATAAGGTGTTCCAGAATGAATACAAGATCTGAGTGTTTTATAAATTAAAGAGTTAAAGCAAAGATCAAAACTCTTGTGCAAAGGACTGAGACTTCTAATTTTTTTCTGTGGTTAACTGTAAATCATCTTGTAGTGTTTTAGAAGTATAAGCTTCTGATTACTTAGGTACTATTTCCTTGCACTCCAGCATTGTGAGTAGACGATGACTTTGTGGTATAATATTGAGAACTGAGCAAACACCAAAATCCACTGGCTTCCCACAAAACAATGTTTCTAACAAGTCTGCCAGAGTGTATGCATTTCTACCACTTTTATTTTTATGTTTTGGGGGCTAGATGTTGAGGTAATAGATGCCAGAAGTCCCTGACTAAAATTCAAAGAACCTTAAGAAAGATGTGTAGCACGTAACACATTGAGTGACTGAGAGCCATTAATGTTCATTAACTGAAACCCCTAACATGGCCTATTGAGAATACTGTGTTCTATTAGTTTGCTTATTTTTAAAAGATTCACAGTGCAGATTATAGAGCATTGAACAAGGATGGGGAGTGGCCTGTTACAGAACAGGTAAGACATAGGCATGAGCACTGGCCAGCGAGTCAGGAGCCCTGGGTTCCATCGTAGGCTCTACCAGGGCTTAGCTATTTGAGTGACAGGTCTATGTCATGAGAACACTGAGTTTAAGAATCTTATCAGGTTCAGTATGGAAGGTTGTCGTGATAGTGATCCACCAGGAAACACACTGAGTTGGAGAGGAAGGGGGAAGGCACAAAGAGCAGGGAAGGGAACTGAAAGTGCCAATGACAAACTTTGCGATAGCTTGCCTGGAGGAAGTTTTGATTCTGATCATTGGATGTAAAAGCCTGTATCAGTTTGAAATTTATGTTTAAATCAAGACTGTTTGATCAACATGCAGTTGCAAAGCAAATATAATGCAAAAGATAAAAATAAACCTTGATAATCAGAATGAGTATTGCTTGTTTACTTTTTGTAAAAAAATATAAAAAATAAAACTACGCAGCTTACATATGCTCATTTTTTTTGAAGTGGGGTTGAATTTTTCTTAAGTTCAATTCGTAAGTTACAGAAATTTCATATTTTATTAGTGAGTTTCAATGACAGTGACTTGAAAGATTTTATGTCCTTCAAAGACCACATTTGTCTTTAGGGGAAACAGCAGGGCCTCGTTATTACTTTACAGATTCTGCTGTGAATCCAGAGGACCTTGTTCAGTTTCAGAAATTATAAAAGCAGTGGCGTGACCAAAGAACTGATCTTTGTATTGCTATATAATTTAGCTAAAGCCTTTCAAACAACAGAGCAAAAACAATTAGTTGCAGAAAAACAACTTAGAAATCTGGTATTGGACTATTACCTATTGTTCTTAGTTCTATTAAAGAGGTGATTTTTTTTTTTTGGCCGTTCCTTGCCAAAAATTATAAAAGTAACAGAAAAGAGGAGACACTGCTACAGATCAAAGTTTTCTTTTCAAAATAAATTGTGGATTGTGCAAATAATCAGTCTTGGTTGGTTACTTTCTTGCTGGTGTATAGATGAAGTAGCCTACAGACTTTTGGACTTCTTAGACCAATCAAATGTAAAAACAAAAACAAAAAATTGGGGAATATAATATGGCTAAATAAGGTACTAAACTAGAACATTAAAAATACTCCCTTCTATCACCATCATTGAATTTTTTTATTGTGGTAAAATATACATAACATTTGCCATTTTAACCATTTTTAAAAATATATTTTCATTGATTTTTAGCGAGAGAGGAAGGGAGAGGGATAGACAGAAACATCTATGAAAGAAACATCATCGATTGGCTGCCTCCTGCACTCCCCCTACTGGGGATGGAGCCCACAACCCAGGCATGTGCCCTGACCGGGAATCCAACCAGTGACCTCTTGGTTCCTGGGTCGACCGTCAACCACTGAGCCACACCAGCCAGGCTAATCATTTTTAAGTGTACATTTCAGTGGCATTAATTCCTTTCACCTTGCCCAGCCAGGCATGACTCAGTGGTTGAGCATCGACCTTGGATCCCGGAGATCCAGGTTCGATTCCCAGTCAGGGCACATGCCCGGGTTGTGGGCTCGATCCCCAGCAGGGGGTGCACAGGAGGCAGCCGATCAATGACTCTCTCATCTTTGATGTTTCTCTCTCTCCCTCTAACTTCCTCTCTCTGAAATCAATAAAGACATATTTTTTAAAAAAAAAATTATAATTACTTTCACTGTGTTTTACAACTATCATGACTACCTATTTCCAAAACTTTTCATCACCCCAAACAGAAAGCTAATTCCTCCTTGACATTCCAAACTGGGAGGCAGAGACTCAACTGTCAGCTCCATGATGAGTCATTTGAGAAAACTGCACAGGTTTTAAAAATAGTTCCCTATTTTTGTGACATCTGTTATCACTGTGCTGGGTTTGGATGTGTAAGACTAACACTGAAAGCTGTTACTTCCATTAGGGTGGCCCGACCTGCCTGCGGATGAGCAGCCAGGCCGGATTTGTATCCTTGCTGCTGTGCTTGCATAGTCTACTGAAAACAATCACTCTGTCTCCCTCTCCACCTCTTGTTCACATTGTTCCTCTCCCAGCAACACAGTCCCAGGCACGCGCTAGTGTCTGTGACTGAAAGGGACCACTGTGCCTACAGCCTGTGCTTAGCTATAGCAGTAGACCTGCTATT